CACGCCACACTACATTTAACTAAGCAAGGAAACAATTTTAATAGTTAAGGTTTCATAGGAGGTATAAGACATGTGAATAGCCTAGGACAGAAGGAGGTATACCCCACTGCTTAGCACACGTTGGTCAAATGATCGGCTTCACTTGTCTCTTTAAAGAGTTGTAGTATCGTTCTAAGAATGGCAAGACTTACTGACGATGCCTGCGAAACGTCTGGGAATGTACCACGTCGAAGGTCCGACTGAAAATTATCATGCATACCATCGACTTCGGACTAAGTGCGTTCCTCTAAGTCTTTTTACCTGTATGACCAAGTTGTGAAAATAAGGTCAAACAACTTATATACAGCGAAAGGAGACTGCGACCATACAAAAGGATACACCATCTTGGTCTTCATATCTTTGAAAAAAATTATATTTATGCACTAAATTCCAGTCCCTACCCGAATATATTTGCCAATATGTTATGTGCTCCTATTGCAAATTTTCCGCATAAACTTGCATCCCACTTTCAGAATTACTGAAAGACTATGCATTTTCTTTACCTTCTGTGTACCATGCAAATATTAGGTCTAGCATTTATTTTCCACTTGCACAGATAATTAAATGGATATCTATGGAATTAAGTAGGAATTTATTCTCTCGAGTTAAAAGGAAAAATGTCCTATTCGTTCTCAGCTTCTCTAAATCTCAGTTGATTTCTACTGTAATTCTTGTAATTCTTTTCTTCTCTTTTCTATTCCTGGACCTGTGTTTTATATAAATATTCATACTCCAATATTCACTCTTCTGCCTCAATATCTACTTGGTTTTCTCAATTAAAGAAGTATTTTCGTGGCAACCATAGGGACTATTTCTTTAAACCTCGGGCTCCTAGAAAATTTGCTTTCGGAGCTTCAAAGTAAATCATCACCAATATCTAGTCTTAGATTTCTCAATTTAAAGATTTTACGGCCTACCGTGGTTACTTATTTGCATTTAATTTAGATATTATTGAATTTCCTTGTTTTTTAATACATATTTTGGGGGCCTTCGTTTACCTTAGTTATCTTATTTATTTCTTTACTTAGAGCTGCTCTTTAAATATAACTTGGTGCCCTTTATTTAGGTTATATTCTTATGATGATTTGCATTCATACGTTTTCTACGACATTCTAAATGTCAGATTAATCCTCTCGTAGATCTTAGTCTTGCATTATCACAGTAGCACCACATTTTGAAAATGAATTTGAGAACTTTAGTTATATTTTAAATAACCCTGCTTATTTCAAACTTATACTACAAATATGTTATTTATATTAAATTCATCTTTATTATAAGAAAGTTACCAAGGAATTTAAGGTAATTACATATATTTCCTCATATTGTTCAATTAAGCAGAACCTTTTGGTACACTTCACTCCCACCATATCTGTTTTATCATGACGCTATTTGTTTTTGTTTTCTAGTCATTTACCGGAATCCTTAACCATCGATAAATTCAAACAACATGAAGAACTTGATTGCAAGGTAGCCTAATATACTTATTAGATTCTTCAATAATAAATTTATACTTGATGTGGACATATTCAATTAATATGCCTAGCTAAAAGCTTTGCGCTATTTTTGTCGTCCCTTATGATGATCTATTATCTTCTTTGTTTTTTCTTCTACGCCACCTCTGTTATTTTATGCTTGATTCTTTCCTACTCATTTATTTGTCTTTGATTCTGTTCCGTGAATACACATTATTCCTATAGAAATTCTTAAAGTGAATCACTATCTTATTCATTCGCAGTTCGTATCCGCCATGTGCAGCCTCTTTCTCTCGGATCCTGTTGGATTGCCTGAGACTTTTATTGGCCAATTGATCGGCCTTCTCAGTCTTGGATCTGTGCAGGCGGCGGTGAGTGGCGTGCAATCAGGTCATCACCATCTTTTCAGTCAAACGTCTATAGGATCTGGTCTCGGATTAAACTTAGCCGACTTTGAGTCTACCAGCCTATCTCTTCTCTCACAACAGCAAAAGACTGATGAAAGTGAGTTGTTGATCTATGTACGATACAAAAAATGTTATTTCTATGCAGATAAATTTTCATAATATTATTATTAAATCCCTCCTAGTATTTATATTCATTACATCTTAATGGCTCGCTTTACTTGTAAATAGTAAATTGCGATATTAGATTTCGAGTCATCGAGAAATATTGAGGAGACAAATAATAGTTTAGTTATCTTATAACTCTTCTTTCATATATAATAATTTATGTAAATTCTGCTTATTTAATTTTTATTGAGTTATATCTTGGTTGAGTAGAAGAACCTTTCGTTTTCTTTCCAAAGACTTGTTATAGATACATGGTCACAACTAATTTGTCTTTTAACAGACCTCTTATTTTCTTTATAAAGATAATAAGAGCTCTTTATCCAATAATTGTGCATTTCTGATTTCATTTGCCAATAGAAAGGGCAATGAA